TCTATAAATATACTGTTACGATGATTACTTTATCAAGTTTTTATTGGTTCGTTTGAACAATGTCGGAATAAATTAACAAAATTCCAATATTATAAACTACAATTTTTTGTTCGTTTATGTTCTAACAATTGTGCATTTGTAACAAAACAACCCCTTTCTTCCCTCGTGTAACTTTAACCCTTTAATTGCTGAATACTTTTAACCGAAATGTTTTGTAAGAACGGAATAATAATTTATTAATAATAAATTATATATAATAATTAAAGTTTTTCTTTCTGAATATCATTTAATTAATTAATATCATTTATTTGACTTAACTTAATAATAATATAATTAACCCTTTGCACTTCGTAGGCGCCGTTATTGCGCCAGTTGCTATCAATTATCTTTATATAATATTTATACTTATTATATTATTAATATAATAATATAAATTGTGTATTAAATATATATATATATATTTAAATTTAAATATAAAAATAACTATATTGTATATAAGTAATTATAATTATTTATAATTATAAGTAATACACAATAATATTGTATTACATATATAATATGTAATATCAAATTTTAACACTCGGAGTGCAAAGGATTAATTAATAACATTACATTACTTTGCATTAATATTAACAAACACATATATGCGTCCATAGCACCTTAAGAGTTAAAAAATAAAAAAGGTACTTAATACAAGGTTTGAAGAAAATTTGAGGAGCATTGAATTCGGTTAGGTCGACTTATCCGAGTCACTTGTACCCTCTGTTCTCTATCGAATTAGCATAAGTAAGCTGGTGTAGCGCTAGGCAAGGATACGCAAGCTAAGTCGATGTAACTAAATTAGAGACAGAGAGTGAGAGAGGGAGAGAGAGAGAGGGAGAGAGAGAGAGAGAGAGAGAGAGAGAGCCTTCTTGATCTCGTTAGAAACTCGATCGGTGGCCCGTATTCGTGTCGTCCTACGTCGTAGCTGCTTACATTGTTGTCAATGTCTCTTCAATTTCAATACCTGCAAACTATCGTATCTTTAACATCATCAATCTCATGCATCGTATCATATTATAGATCGTTTACACATACAAAAGAAACTAACAATTTTAATCCGATTAAAATAACGTATTATATATATATTATGTAATTTATAATAAAAAAAAAAAAATTCAATATATCGATTAGCGTGAGCATAAAATTATGCAACTGATTATCCGTAGGTACTTTTTCTTTTTATTTCGTTATCCTTTTCTATCGTAAAACCACAAACTGCAGACTAATCTCTGTCTCGTCCCCCTGTGCCTCCCTACTCAACCCTGTGAAGGAAGCGATGCGTATTAATCGTTTCCTTCTCGACTGCGAGATCATCTCCCAGTAGAAGTGGTCGCGGCATTCTGGCGTTACGGTGTAGGGGTCAGCTGCTCGGTGGTTTGCGAACTATCTCAATTTGCCTAAGCCGCAACCGCGTGGCAACCACGAAACCGCAACTTCCCTCGTCCGTGGGCAGCGTTCGTTCCTCTTTCTCTTCTCACACTCCCCGTCACCCTAACTACTACTCTCTCTCTCTCTCTCTCTCTCTTTCTCTTTCCCTACCATCATCTTTTCCTCATCCTCATCCTCTCTACCTTTCTTGGCTATTGTCTCGGCCCATTCTCCTCTTCCTTTTCCTACGATTCATCTCTTAGTCTCGAGAATTTAGCAACTGCTCCTCGACAGAGTAATCTCCGACCACAGGATCTCTCCTCTGTTCCGAAGCTTGGCTAAAGCTTGCTGGAAAGCCTTTGGCTTCGTCGCGTGCGACAGAGAAAGATAGTTAGATAGATAGATAGATAGATAGATAGATAGATGGATAGATAGTAATAGAGGTAACAAGAGGACACCCACCCAAACCACCCACCTAACGCTGGAGTGTTGTATTTTCCTTTCTACGTTAGGTTTAACCCTTTCAGTGATAAATACTTTTAACTTAAATGTTTTGTAGGAACGGAATAATTTATTAATAATAAATTATATATTTCATAATTAAAGTTTTTCTTTCTGAATATAATTTAATTAATTAACACTATGCCATCCGTATGACTAATCTAGATTTTTTTTATTTATATTATTTTATTTTATATTATTATATTTAATTATTATTTTATTTATATCGCGCTTGCGCGATAATTTCCCAATGGCACTAACGTGAAGCCACCGAACGTCATAGTGTTAATATAAACATTACATTATTTTACATTAATATTAATAAACACGTATATATGCATATGTCGATAGATCACTCTAGTAATTTTTACTAAACGCATATATGCGTCCATAGCACTCTTAGGGTGTTTAATGATTCTACAACCATAGTATCGTACGTTACAAGAATTTTACAAATTCCAACTCATGTTAGATTTGCGAATAAACCATGAGCCAAGTAAAATTTCCAATGATTCTTTCAATCTTATCACTTTATACGCAATTATATTACATTATCTAATTTCTTCATATTTTACAGGCTGCATTAGTAATACAGTATTTAATAGAATAACCGATGAATCATTGAAATAAGATTATGCGATTGGAATATGAAGAATATAACGTATGACCTAACGAAATGGATTCTAACACATTAGTGAGAATCTTTGAAATATTAATGATTGTATTACATTTTTAATTAAACATTCTTAATTCATAATGATTAGCTTGTATATAAAGTTATCAATCTTTGAAAAATGATCTCGTTAAATGTTCAGATTTAAGTAATTTTGCTAATTTCATATTAACATTTCATATTAGTCATTGGTTATATCAACTGCATTTATTTCACATACTTATCATGTAAACATACACACGCACACACAAACTGTATCTTTTATTTTATTAACATTTCTTTATTTATGTATTTGTTTAATATGAATAGACAATAATTGTGAGATTTCTCAAATTGTAAATAATAGCTTTAGACATTAATTAGTATTGTTTCTGATATCACATTACACGATACCTTGATAGACGTTAAGTTTTGTTTTTGTTTACAACAAGTATCAGGGGTCTTGTACAAATTGTAGTAATAATAATAAAAGTTATCTGATACACATTATAATAACATTTAGTACGATTTATAAATAAATGATATGGCAAGAAATGAGTAACTTAAATTGATATCTATCATAATTTTTGCTTGATAATAGTAGTATACATATATATGTATATAATACATTTACAAATTTATGGATCGTTGTAGAAACGAGGATCGAACTAAAATACTTTGTAAACCCAGTGATCTTTTGATCGTGTAAAAAATTGGTTAGTTCAGAATGAGAGACAGAGATGAAGATGAGGAGGAAGAAGGTGGAGTAGAATTCTCCGTTTAAAGAGGGTTGAACCCAAGAGAAGTCTCTTTTATTGTGTATATCGAGAGAATAGTAGGTACGAACAGACTTCTTCTCTGGATTTGTAGTCTTTGTCGGTGGTTGAATTGAAGTTGCAGTAGAGTAGGAGGAAGAGGAGGATGAGGAAGATGATGAGGCGGAGAAGAGATGGAAGAAAAGAGGACTTCCATTTCATTCGATTACAACGGCTCGATTGTTATCGAGGTCACTAGAGGTGCAGAGGTACCTCCCTCTTAACTCGAGGACGATCTTCTTCCGTCTATCTATCTTTCTCACTTGTCCCCCTCCCTACTCTCTTTCTCTATTTTTCTTCTTCTTCTTTTTCTTTCTATCATCAAAAAAAAAAAAAAAATTTTATTCTGGCTTACTTGCCACGAGGAAAAGTAGAAGAAAAAAAAAAAAAAAAAAAAGAAGAAAATTCTTTTTCATAGGTTTCTATTTATTTAGAATAGTTTATTTTATTTAAATCTAAATATCAAATATCGATATAATACCAACGGTATATCGGTCCGTTATTTATTTATTTACTTTTTGGTAACACGATGATCGAGTTATGGATTGGAAACATATAGTTTGTAATCGTAGCTTTGGAAAAGTCGAATAGAAAGGATCTACAGGTCCACCTCACCCCACCCCCGAAAACGCGTTTGTAAGCATCCAAGTGGTCGCGTACAAATATACATATATATATATATATGAATGTGTATAGTATGTGTGTTATACTATCGCAAGCACGTGTGCACGAACGAACGAACGAACGAACGAACGAACGAACGAACGAGCATGCGTCTATATACAGTCGAGAACCTCATAGTTTCGGTTGTAGCGTGTAATCCTCCCGGACACCGCAAACGTGTAATTAACACTTGCTCCGTCTCTCTCTTCTACCTCGTTCTCTTCGCTCTCTCTCTCTCTCTCTCACTCTCTTCCTCTTGCATACTACTCTGTTCTAGCTCGTTGTTTCTCGTATACTACATACGCGATGGTGTAGTTTCACGTACGGGGAGGTAATCGTGCGTGCACGCGTGTTCACGCGCACCTACCATCGTCTTCTCTCTCTTTCTTCCTCTCTTCCTCTTTATGGTAGAGTATACCACCGTTGGATCTCGTGTTTCCACTTACTGTTTCTATCTATCTATCTCTCTCTCTCTCTCTCTCTCTCTCTCTCTCTCTCTTTACTATACGTGTTCGTATCGTTTTCTCCTATGTAACAGCATATACACATATCGCGGTGAGAGAGTCTATACCTACGTATTTATTTCTCTCTCTCTCTCTCTCTCTCTCTTTCTTTCATGTATGCGAGCTCGCCCACGCTTACTCCTCGAGCGAACAGATGTACGGAATTAATTATTCGACGTGCAGGAAACCACCGACGACACGGTTGCTTCTTCGTTCGTACGCAAGTATCGAATTATGTCGGACAAAGCGACGCTTTCACGGAGAATTTCACTGGTTGAACAAAAAGACCGTCAGCCCCATCATCTGTTATTCCAAATGTATTTTTTTTTCTTTTTCTTTTTTTTTTTCTTTCTTTCCGGTTACTTTTTAATCGTCTTACGATACCTACCTAATTTGTAAAAACAACAACAACAACAACGTATTATAAACAAGATTATTTTTGTTTTTATCATACAGGGACCACCACAACCAACCCAACCATTCAAGTTCACAGTTAACGAGGCTTGCGACAGGATCAAGGAGGAGTTCAGCTTCTTACAAGCGCAATATCACACGTGAGTTGTTCCCATCGTTCATGGATCTTTCTTTTTTCACTTTTTTTCTTTTCTTTCCTTTCCTTTCCTTTCCTTTCCTTTCGAGAAGAGGGTCTTTGTACCTTTATCCTTTTACAGAGCGAGTCAATAAATACTGGAGTTTGTAAAAAAAAAAAGAGACCCTGGTTGTTGGGTATATAGTACGGAATGAAATGAAAAGTTATGATGAAATTTTGATTAAAAAAAAAATAAAAAAAAAAAAAAAACATATCAAACCTGTATCTATAAATAATTTCATTGGACTTTTCCACATGTATGATAAAAAAAGAAAAAGAAAAAAAAAAGAAAATAAAACGTTAGCTTTGGTTGGTTGCAACGTTGTGATGTAGTAGTATCATTGTAAGTACTCGCTCTGTATATTATGGATCGGTTCTTTTGAACGCGCTCGCGTGTTTCTGGCGCATGAGAGACTGGGAACAAACGCAGCTGGTGGCAGCCAGGCTTCTTCTTTGAGGTGCACGCGACGTGCGGAAGCCATAAGTGATTTACGACGAAACGTGGCTATCGACGAACGCTTAATGCTACTCTTGCGTTTGCGATATATTCTTTTCCTTTTCTTTCTTTTTTTTTGTCCTTTTCTTTCCTAGAGACCTTTACCATCATAGACTTTTCTAGACAAAACCATTCCCTCTCTTTTCTAGATTAAGCCACGAGTATATTCACATATCCCTCTTTTCTGTGGGAATACGAAATCGAGGAAACCTTGCCACTTGTCACTGCATTTTTCAACATTTCACTCGAAGAAGCATTCAAACTTTATCATCTACCTACCATTTCCATCCCTTATTTTCTATTTATCCCTCTTCGATATATACCGGAACACTTCCGCGACCTTTTGCTCTTTCTACTCTATTCTTTTCTATTCCTAGATCTTTTACCTTTTTTATTTTCTTTATTTTTTTTTTTTAATCTTTCTCTACCTATACGCGTCATATCCGGTTGTTAGATCCTTTGTCTCTTTGTCTCTTAAGCTTTTGTTTAATAAATTACTTATAGAGCATAAAAATCGAACAAACGTTTTTATATAGAAACCTTTCTACTTTAACACTTATATATATATATATATATATTCGTTCATATTATTTTTAACATCATATAACTTGATCCTTTTTTTTTTCTCATTGTTCAGATTAAAGATGGAATGTGAAAAATTGGCCACGGACAAGATCGAGATACAACGACATTACGTGATGGTAAGCAGATTACAAACAAAAATCATTATTTAATGTTAATTTTTATACATCTTTTCACTTTCTATCTTTCCGTATACATTTATATACACACATATGCATGCATACGTTACATACATTCAATTTCGAATAATTATGCTCGCTTGAGCGTTAAACCATCGAGATTTTTAACATTAATTACATTATCGTGCAGACTTTGCATTGGGGGGTGGGGGTGGGTTGGGGGGAGGGTTCTTCCTTCTGTTAAAATTTCTCCATTTATCTCTATCTCTTTCTGGCACTTATGTTGAACGTGTATAACGTAGAGGGTACTATATATTACATACTTACATAGGTGTATCCATATCTATAGACACATACTCATCGTCGTCGTCTATATGTATACTTATTCTAGCTTACACAGGAACGAACACGCAGTACAACACTCCTATCATGCATAGCTAATGATACTAAGAGCCAGTGGTGCTCATCGATTTACCGGAGTCACGTTGCTCCTGCTTTGGGTATCTAATGACAAACTAATACGTCGTAATGGCAGACCGTTGTCCAACGGCTGGTTAATGCCTTTGGATTACGTGGTCGTTCTCATTGGCTTGCATTCTCTCCTTCTCTCACTCTCTCTCTCTCACTCTATCTCATCTGTCTGTATTCAACATTCACACCGCGGTCGATCGAGTTCAGGCAGAGTCAGCTAATTACGACAGTCCTGTTCGACTACTATTGGCGTGACTTTGCGTGGAAACTTGTCAGAGATAACAAGAAAGCGTAATTAACGCGAGACGACTCTTTCTTTTATATCTTCAACCATCCTCCGTAAAATGTTTTATTTCTCTTCCTTTCTTTATTTATTTTTGTTTCGTTTAACAGTTTCGATGTATCGCTTAAAACCTAAAAACTATCGTCCTAGGTATATATTGAGTTTTTTCCTATTCCCCATTTCTCGATAGATCGATAAACGTAATCGGTAAAAGCTTTAAAAAAGGGAAGAATACCAGAGTTTACTACTGGGACAGAATTGGACGCCGATTGACGCCACCCATTGAATTTCAGTCAAGTCGATAGATAAATTTTCTCTTAACTAGCACGTAAAATGGATGACAATGATAACGTCTATCTATATTTGTTTCTTTTTATTCTATCTATCTATTTCTAGTCTCCTTCATTGGGTGGAAGG